GTGTAAGTGTTTTCAGGCTGTTTGGTTTGCTTTCGGAGGCCACTCAATGGTTCAAAACCCTTCTCGAAGTTCCTACCGTAATCCTAGTGATGAAAAGCGACCGGTGATTGCTCTATACTGTTAATCTAAGTTGAAGCCACCTCTACCAAATGGTACGTCATATTAAGCAAAAGACTTTATCTAAGTTGAAGCCTGCTCTACAAAGCGGCACCTGATGGTAGGCAAAAGACTTCTGGACTACAAAATGATATGTAAAGATAGACAAAAGACTTTTTAGGAGAGAGATATTAACGATCAAACAGTGTATACATACTTTTGCGACACCCTGTATGTTTGAATCTAACCACGTATGTCGAAGTTATACGGCAATTACTGCCCCAGCTGCCCATATTCAATTGACACAAATAAACAAAGAAAGCTTACAATCTATTTCAGTGTTAACTTGCATCACGAACAAATTTAAAAGAGACATTATTTCGACAAAACATTGGTTCCATACTTTTGGTTCATATTTGCTTATGTTGGACGCAAATGAAATGGACATAATAAGTTGTATAAGCTGGATGTAAAAATCAAAAAAGGACCAACTCTCATGCCACTAGCACCCCCCTAGCCTAATCTGATAGAAACAGCAGTATCAATGCACTAAAAGTTTCTGTTGTTAGTATAGAAATTAACAGCAGGAAGGAAACCGTAAAGGGGAACGGAACTTACCTTAAATCGCTGTATTGCTTCTTTGGACACATTCTGGCAATCATACAAATCAATTCGTTTCAACGCTCTTGCGTGTCGCATATGTGATAGAGCCGAGTCTGTGATTTGTGGACAATTATCGAGCTCCAGCACCTAGATAGCAACATTCGAAACTCAAAATTCGAAGTTCTCAAATCCCACTTCAAACTAAACTCACCTGTAATTTGTCTTTATTGTTGGTACAAAGACAATGTATCGATTCGTCCGTGATTAGCTCACAGTGAGAAAGACTCTATAATAAAATAAATCATATGCAAATGTAACCGATTTGGCTAGTCCGACCGTTCAAAGGGCAAATTTTCCTAAGCTTAGAAAAATTTGAAAAATCGGCTAAGTATTCCAAAAAAAATTATTCCATTCTGGAAAATGCAACCACTTTTGACTTGCTCTTTTTGAAATTAAAGTAGATGCATGCGAGTCATAAGAAGTTGGCCAAATATTGAAAAATCCTGTAGACTTTCAAATTTGTAAATGAGGAAAAGTCAAAGCATAGACTTACCAATTCAGATAGATTGCTACAATTTGTGCTAAGCGAGTGAATGGTCGCATCAGTAATCAAACTACAATCCTCCAAATCCATCCGAGCCAAACATTTGCAGT